TCAAGCACTTCTGAAAAAATATATATATACTTACACACAAAACTAAAAGTAAAATGTAATTAGGTAATATTGAGACTAGTGTTGCTCCGATGCCATTTTTTGGCCCCGATTCCTGATACCTGAATGTTCAGTATCGGCCCATACTGATACCATCTGTTTGAAATCGATGTGTTTATATCTGAAGAACTGCAGACTGCTTGGATGTAGAATAATCACCATCATGGCTTCATGTCCAGCTGCTGCCTTCCTTTGAGAAGCAGGAAAAAGACTAAAACAAAGTGAATCCAGTAGAACTTTTCATTTCCTACCTGGAATGGGGATAATAGTTGAAGAAACTTTAGGCTCTCAGAATGGTATCAGTGCCCTATTGGTTGGTACTGGCCGATACCAATGCCACCATTTTACTGCTGGATCGGGGCCCCGCCCCATACTGGTATCGGTGCAACACTAGTTGAGATTGCCCATGATTAAACAACACTCTTATTTCTTTTAGAGTGAACATTGGGAATAAACAGCCTTCATGTACTACAGGCTGAAACATCAATCAGCACTGCTTTATATAAAGAATATAGAGATATTAAACATAAGAGAAATATTACCAGGGTATTAACTGTACCCTATATTGAACAATTATTGTTAAAGGCAAAGATATTAAAAGCTGGTCTTAGTTCAGAGTTTCTGTCTCTTTAATCACGATCCACCTCCTTCGGCTCTGATGAATAATTGTCTTTTCTAGGTGGCAGCAAATCATAATCACAGGAGCTGTTTTTTGCTTGGTCAAATAGCTCCTCCCCCAGCTGCTGATGCTCAAACGCTGCTCCAGAGGATGGGAAGGTTTCTGCGCTCATGTCTGAAATCAAGCCAGAGGTGCAGAAAGTCATAGTAAAGCCCTTCCTGTGCAGAATATACCCAGTTTCTAGTGGTAAACTTCAACATCATGAACAAAACCTCGTTAAGGTACATTCACACCAGACGCAGAAGCAAAGGATTTCCATCTTATTTTTCTGCAGAGCAAAACTGAACAAGGCAAAGGTGGAGAAGTTAGCGAGGCGAGTGGAACGACTTCATGAAATTTGGTTTGCATGCGGAACTAAGCGAACTTTGAAAATCTGAATCTTTTTTCAGATTTGCATCAAGAAATCCAGTCAGGGACAAGATGTGGCTGTGAGTCTGGTGAAGAAGGCAGTGGAGACAGAGAAGATCATTTTGACAAAGGTTTAAGGTGGAATGCTGTAGTTTTAAGGTGCCTCATAAAAAAAAGCCATTTAAATGTAGTCCTGGAGGGACTGTATCTCTATCCTACCTCCAGCACTGACAGCTGGCAGCCAATGCCTTCTCTCCCCTTCTCCATCGCTCTCTCTCTGCCCAGTAGACTCTTCTGATCTTTTGGTGTTATCCTTCCATCTCCTACTGTTAGCCTCTAGAGGCTAGCCCTAGCCAGTCATAGCTTCTCCATCGCTCTCTCTCTGCCCAGTAGACTACTCTGATCTTTTGGTGTTATCCTTCCATCTCCTACAGTTAGCCTCTAGAGGCTAGCCCTAGCCAGTCATAGCTTCTCCATGCTCTGTCTCCCTGGATGCCTCTGTGGTGTACCGCTATCCTCCCAGTCTGTCCTCAGCCTACAGCAGCTCTGTTTGCCCAGTTGATATATTCGATCTACCACCATCCTTCGCAAATCCCAGTCTGCAATGTTGAGGTCAAACCAGCAACCAGTGGACTCCATGATGAAGGAGCCTTTTGCTGGTCAGGTGAATTTCAAAGTGAGCAAAACTGAAATTTCCACAGATTTCACGTTTGGTGTGATTGCACCCACAGCTGAAACTAAGAGAAAAGAAGCTTCTCCAAATTGAAGGTTTTAATTTCTGGAACCTAAACTAGCAGAAACATGAGCGACCAGATTCATGCACGTATAGCTGTGATATGCATTGGGAAATGAACAGTAGGTGCTGCTGTGGGATGGAACATACTTCTGCTGGTGTGACCACCCTGCAGCACCGAGAACACGAGGGAGAATTCTGAGGTTTAGCAGGTTCTCTGGGTTCAGATGCAAACTGTTGATTCTGCTCATTGCAAATGTCCCTGAGGCATCTGGCTGCAGATGCAATTAAATATGAGTAAAACGATGAGCTGATTACTCTGAACAAGCTTACGTCTGCAGGGCTGTCAACTCTCACCCATTGGGTGTGAGACTCACGCATCTTAGTGTCTTTGCAGGCTCTCCCTCCATATCCACAATTAAAAAATGACGCACATTAAAACTCAACTCCATTCCACTTATTTATATATAGAAACACCACGTTGATAAAAACACGGTCCATGTTTTCAACACAACCTTAGTGCTAACACATAATGACCCTGTTCACTGCGCTGAGTGCAGCGGAGCTGAGGGACCTGTGCCAGATATCGAATAAATACCGGGATTTCTGAGCAGTTACTACCAGGTATGTCTTTTTAATTTATCTCATTTTATCTGGACTAGGTTCATTCATTTTGTAAATTAATCATTTTAAGCAATCTAGCACTTGAGTAAATATGAATAAAATATGCAGCATTTACCTTAAATTATAATGTGGAGACTGAGTGTAGGATCACATTAAAAGGTTTGTTTTCTTTATACCTAGTGTTTTTTTTTACTGAGCTTCTCTCCTTGTTTGCTGTAGTTTTTCCTCCAGTTTTAGTCCCAGTTTTGCTCAAACTTACATAATTATTGCTCAGGCTAGTTGAATAATCTCCCGTCTAATTTTAGGACTAATAAAACCAACAGAAATCTCTAAATTCTTCAAGCTTTCAGGTTTGCCTCACAAACCAACAGGAGGTCCACAAAAAGGAAAAGAAGCATTGCATTTCATTTTTTAAAGATCAGCAGCCAAGAAAAGTCCAACCAGATAGAGACACAGAGAGGATGAGCATTGATAGAGGAGGAACCACAGAGATGTTCTCATCTCATTAGTAATTTAATTATTCATTTATCTTCATTTTGATCCATTTAATATGTTTAAAAACTTAATTTCATCACATCTCCCAAACTGAAACATCCATAGAAATGCTGTCTGCTGTCATGGTGAGTTTTATAGAACCTACAGCCTCATAGAAGGTCTGAACTGTTTGGCTGTTTTTTGTGAGTTGTAAAAATCTAATAAGTTAATAACTTAAGATGTTTTTAATCCTATTACCAAAGATCAACACACAGTGTAGTTTTCATGGGATTGAACTGCACTGGTTCTGGTATCAGATCCAGTAATAACTCATCAGTTCCTCATTGTTTATTTTATGTGAACTTTATAGAATAATTGATAAACTAAGTTGTGAAATTCTTTATTTACAGTAAATGTAAGATCCAAGTATTTTATTAGGTCCATTCTTCTTTACTTTAATTCTCTGAAAATCACCAGAATATAGAAAATAATGTTAATTGTGTGAAAGATTTTCCACATAATTACAGATAAATTATTCAGTAATATTTACTTTGCTATAATAATTCAACATTTTTCCATTTTGTTTCAGTTAAACCGTCTGAAAACCTCCAACCTTCAGCTGCACCTGTCCTCATCCAACCCTGACAGGGTTTCCTGTCCAAACTATTTCTGAATCTCACTCCAAGGTTTGGGGAAAAGTTGGCAGCCCTGCGTCTGCAGATCTAATCTTTTATTTTGTTAGAAAACAGAAACAAGCCTTGTTATCTAAACCCAGCAAAGCAGAATAATTACATTCTAATCATGTTTATAAGGAAATGCATAGAAAAAACCACCCAGCATTAAACTACTTACCTGCTTCATCAACCCTCTGGCTGTTGCTAATCTCTGCATAGCTGGAATCCCTCCTGGTGGGGGGCTTCATTTCCATGTAGCTACATTCTGTGTTTCTAGATGTTGGCAGGGGAGGGTCCTTTATGGTAGCATATGGGTTTTCAGAGCTGGCGAGTGAATATGAGCTTGAAAGATAGTCTGCAGTTTTCACCATGTCTGAAAAACAAACAGGAGCTGGTTTTCCATTCTATCAGCGCTGAGATGTACAGCTGAGCCGAAATGCAAAACTCACCCCGAATAGCATTCATGTCGACTCCACATGCTCCTAAAACGAAGAAAAGTTCACATGAAGTTATAGAATATCTTTAAAGAATTAGTAAAATAAACAAGTTAAATTTGTAGTTCTTAAAAAAACACCTTCAGGAAGAAATCAAAGCATTGCAAATAAAGATTTGAAATGTTCGTCCAACTTTCAAAATAAGAGTAAAACCAAAGTATTGGTGAAAAGCTTATAACCAGAGTCCATCAGGATGATGTCTGCGAGTAAAGAGTATTTATCAGCGTGTGCAGCGTATATTTAGGTATCACTCATGTTTTTGAATCGTTGCTCAGGGCTGCAGCAGTTGTTTGGAGTTTTTTTCAAAATGTCCAACATGAATTATAGTTTTTAAAGACAAGATGAATAGTTGAATCGAATATAAACAGTTATAATGGAATTCTAAAAAAAAAAGCTTTCCCTGAGGTTTGTATCAGTCTGGACTCACCCAGCTCAGTGAAGGCGGCGTCTCGGTTCCAGTTTCTCAGCTTTGCTGCAGAATGAACACCCAGATCCACACCCTCCATGTCAGGAAACAAAGGGCTGCAGAGCTGCAGAGATTCAGGAAATGACAAGAGTCACACTTTAGGGTCAGGGAGGGGGGGCGGCCCAAAACTGAGGGGTCCCTTAACCATTTCAGGGTCACCCTATGCCCACAGTGAACCTATATCTGTATTTAAATCCCTGAGGATGGAGCAGGTTTTCATGAGGCCCTTATTTACAGATCGCTTCGACATAAACTATACATGAAATGGGTTGATTGGTTGATCTTTAGATTCCTAAATAACAGCAGAGATCAACTCTACCCTGTAAAACAAAAACTAATTCATTAACGAGCATCAAGAGATGATAGATTGTGAAAATGAACATTCGACTGTGGAAAAGAAGCACATCAGCGCTGGTCCCGCCAACAAGGGCCAGTGCCCTTATGGAACTGCCTCTGGCCCCTATGGAACTGCCTCTGGCCCCTATGGAACTGCCTCTGGCCCCTGTACTAAAATACATACAGCAGAAATGGAAATATAAGCAGGCTAGTTGTTATTACTTTATTTGGCCTTGATTTAAGGAGGAAAAACAATTTGCATATGGATTAGGAGGATTTATATATAAAAGAATAAAAGAAAAATCTCTATAATTTAATTTTAAGTGCATATTA